ACAGACACCTGGGACTGAGAGGCGCTGCTCCCACCCTAGCAATGGGGAGGAAGTGAACCCCAGCCATGGCTGTGCTACTGTGCAAATCTGCTCTTCTCTATCGTGGGCCGCGTCCAACAGGGCAGAGGAGGGTTGGTTTTGGAGCAGTAACACCTTTCTGGCAACAGGCATCTGTAACCGAATGTTGAAATATGGTGGTGGAGGAGGTGCGTCAACAGGAGGATGCAGCCAGAAATGCCAGAGCTATCTCCCACCGACCACTCACCAATCACACATTTTTTTAAAAGCTTGGACTTTCCTGAGCTGGCAGACACCCACAGAGAGATCTTGGATGCGCCATTTTCCAAAAAATAGATTAGCGCTGCAATTTTCTCTCTACAGTCAGGGAAGTCCCCTGGCCCAGACAGTTTTTTGGTAGAATTTTTCAAATCATTTGCCCCACAGCTTGTACCTCTACTCCACTCAGTTCTACCTGAAGCATTTACACAGGGCAAACTGCCAACCTCCTGGGACGATGCTTCCATAACTTTAATTGCAAAACAGGGGAAAGATCCAACTGAGTGTGCGTCATACCGGCCAATTTCGCTTTTGAACATCGACTTTAAGATCCTAGCTAAAGCGCTGGCCCACAGGTTGGAAAGGGTCCTGCCAGCAGTCATACCTGAAGATCAGTCTGGCTTTGTTAAAGGTGCCACACCTTTTTCAACATCTGACGCCTTCTTAATATCCTGCACACGCTGTCCAAGGACACTCCAGAATGTGTTCTTTCCCTTGATGCGGGAAAAGCATTTAACCGTGTAGAATGGAACTATCTATTTGCTGTGCTGGAAAGATTTGGGTTCGGTCCCAACTTCATCTCATGGATCAAGTACCTATACTTGTCCCCTGTTGCGTCTGTTTGCACTAATAGCCAGAAATCAAAACCATTTCAACTTAAATGAGGCACACGTCAGGGTTGCCCCCTTAGCCCGTTGTTATTTGATCTAGCTATTTTAACCCTTAGCAATGCTTTTTCAAAGCAGTAAACTTGTCCAGGGTATACAAAGAGGTCAAACTGAACCCAAAGTCTCTCTCTATGCTGACGATTTATTGCTTTCTATTTCAAATCCAAATACTTCCCTACGTCTATATTGTCACTACTCACGCATTTCAGTCAAGTCTCTGGTTATAAATTAAATCTGTCCAAGAGCGAACTTTGTCTATTAAATGAAGAAGCGTTTCCAATAGATTTGTCTGGTTTCCCCTTTAAAGTGGTCAAAGAACAGTTCACCTACCTGGGTATTACAATTACAAGAAAGTATTAACAACTTCTCAAAGCCAACTTTTTTACACTATTGAAAAATGTCAAACAAAGCCTTCAACAGTGGTCACCCCTGAACACAACTCTGGTCGGACGAATTAATTCAATTAAAATGAATATCCTTCCTAATTTCTTATACTTATTTCAATCTTTACTGGTCTTCATCCCCAAGTCTTTCTTTACAACTCTAGATTCTATAATCTCCTCTTATATTTGGAAGGGTAAACAACCTCGAGTAGCTAAGGTGCATTTACAGAAACCTAAGACTGAAGGGGGTTTGGCACTCCCTAGCTTCCGCTTTTACTATTGGGCTGCCAATATTCGGTCCCTGACCTACTGGTTACAGTCTGGGGAAGGTGTGGGCGCAGTTCAGGAGACATTTCAATTTTAATAATTTTTCACTTCAAAGCCCCATCCTTTCGAACCACCTATTCCTCCCCCCAACTTTGGACAACTTGTTCCAGGTCTGGTTTAGAGCAGGTATTATTTGCTTTAAAGATCTCTTTATACACAATAAACTAGCATCATTTGATCAGCTGGCAGGAAAATACAGTCTTCCCAAAACTCACTTTTTTAGATATTTACAACTCAGACATTTTTTGCAGTCCCACCTCTCCAATTTTCCAGAAGCTCCAGCTGCTAACTTACTGGACGAGCTCCTTAATTTGTAACTATCAGGCAAAGCTGTAATGTCTTGCATCTATAACAAACTGTGCAGTGTAACCCCAGCTCCCGTTGTGGGCCTCAAGTCCACATGGGAGAAGGAGTTGGGTATATCTATGTCAGACGATGTCTGGGACTCAGTCTTCTCTCTGGTAAATTTTACATCACTCTGCGCCCGTCACTCCCTGTTACAATTCAAAGTAGTCCGCAGGGCCCACTTATCTAAATCCAAACTAGCTAAGCTTTATCCCAGTTTAGACCCTCACTGTAACAGGTGCGGGTCTAATGATGCCAATTTAACCCACATGTTTTGGACCTGCCCTGCCCTGGCAAATTTCTGGGAGGAGGTTTTCTGCACTTTGAACAAGGCTAACTGGCCGTTTTTTTCTCTCTCTCTCTTTTTGTGGTGGTGGTGGTGGAGAAACAGTTCTGGTGACCTGCTGCAGATCTGGCAGTAGCAGAGAAAAAGTTCTGATGCCGACCACAGGTCCAGTGGCGGCGTGGCATGGCAGATGACCAGCAATATGCTGGAGCTGCCAACTGTGGCTGAGCAGCTCAGGCTATGGTAGGTCGAATAGGTCCCCACAAAGAACAGATCTCTGGCGTGGGCATGGCAGGTCCAGACAGCCCACAGAACCTCTGGCGTGGGCAGAGCAGGTCCTTCGGCATGCTGACCTCTGGCTCAGGCAGAGATGCGGCTGGGCCTGAAAGCAGTGTAGAAGCCGCAGGCGATGAGCAGGTGGCAGCATGGCAGCTGCAGGCAGTTGAGCAGATGGCAGCGTGGCTGCCGTAGGTTGCTGGTGGCATGGCAGCCGCAGGCGGTTGAACAGGTGGTGGCGTGCCAGCCACAGGCGGTTGAACAGCAAGAAGCTGTGTGGTGGTCAGTGGGTCGGATCAGGTGGCAGGTGAGGATGCTGGACAGACATGGCACACCCTCAGGGTTTAATCTAAAACCCTGGCTGCTAAGTTCAAAGGAAAACTTTTAGATATCGGTAAACACACAGAACACAACTACTGGTCTGATTTCCTCAGTTTTTGCACACCATGCCAAGTTTTGGGAATCATATTGTTGGAACAATACTATTTTATGCTTGTCAAATTGTATTAAACAAACTAAATGGTAATAAACTGCAGTACAGAATTACTATGATCAATAAAATAAAGTTAAATCAATTATTACTGTTTATTTTCTTCTACTTTTTAAGTTTTCGTTTTTAAAATAAAGTTAAAACTAAACTAGAAATGTGTGGTATGACGTTACCACGTCATAAAAAAATCCCATGCTTCTAAAACAAAACGTTAATGTTAATTTTTCATTCATATAAATGTTTAGAATAATATGTTTTATCAGTGCGGCAAAGAAAATTAAAATAAATCCCAGTCATTGATACGTCAGTGTAACACAGATTCTGAGTCAGTATTCCGTTTTTTAAGAAACGAAGCTTGAACTGGCAGGTAGCTGTAAAATCTGACTTCAGATCGGCACTTTTGGAAGCCACGTAACACGCAGCAAGCCTCGCGGTATTTACGCTACCCAGAATGCCCCGGTCTTCCTTTCTGCCTGAACCGACATGGTGGGTACATAGCTGTTCCTTCTGGGGGAAATATTTTATCTGTTGTATCTGTTTACATCCTTTCATACATTTATATTTTTATACTGTAGAAAGTGCCAATTAAGTCTTTGAACTTTGTGCAGGGCCGTGATGTTAATATTGTGCTTTGATGCTGTGTTGTTTTTGACAAAAACGTAGGTTAAGTTGGTCGATGTGTAACCGGTGCTAACAGTGCTGTGGCTGCCTGTGAAGTGCTGAAGCTAAAGGCGATGAACATGCTTGTTTTAGGAGCTCGTTTTTGTTTTGTTTTTATTTAATTTTTGTGTTTTTCTTTTTAATTTTCCAGACGGTTGTATGTATTTTGTAAAGTAGAAGTACAATACTACCGGGGTACAAGTTTGTGTTCCCTGCTAGTTTACTGACTAGCATTAGGGAATGGGCCCGCGCGTGGGTCGGTATTAACCTTCCTTTTGGCCTGACATTAGTTGTGTTTCTGTCGTTTATTGAATGTATTCACAAACACGCAAGTTTTACCTACGTTTTCATTGATACTTTACCATCCTGAATCGGTGTTTAGTTCAGTGTGTATGACGTCCCTTACGTGTTGGTGTAGCAGCATGGAGATTAGGTGAGCTCTGAAGTCATTCTCTGGCTCTTGGGGTTTATTTCTTGCTTTTTCCATTACAGCTTTCAAAAAAACTAAAGTGGGCTTTTGATTGTATTTTTGCTAGATTTAAAAATTATTTTGTGGGAAATTGACATGGGTAGTTGCTAAAGCTAGGCTAAGCAACTCGCTGACATGGTTGGGAAAGGTAGAGCAGTGTTCTAAGTTTACATGTGGAGTAACATGTTTACAAGTTAATAATCATATGTTAGGTTAAAGTTGCTTGTGTTTATACTTCTGTAACACACTGTTCCCTTTTCCACAGCCTAAGGGAAAGAAGGCTAAGGGGAAGAAGGTGGCACCAGCCCCTTCAGTGGCCAAGAAGCATGAGGCCAAGAAAGTAGTCAACCCCCTGTTCGAGAAGAGGCCCAAGAACTTTGGCATCGGTGAGTATCTGCAGGTGCCACTTTATTGGGGGCATAAGCTAGTGGTCATACAGGTGCAGATGATGTAAAAGAATATTTGCTATCTTAATACCACTGATGACAATATTCCCACCAAGATCGCTGATGCACATTATATTAACATTCAATTAAGAGAGTCTGTGTTTAATGGTAGATAATGATGAATTTGTTGTGCTTTACCACAGGCCAGGATATTCAGCCCAAGCGTGATTTGACACGCTTTGTGAAATGGCCTCGTTACGTCCGCCTGCAGAGGCAGCGCTCCATCCTCTACAAGCGTTTGAAGGTTCCCCCTGCGATCAACCAGTTCACCCAGGCTCTGGACCGCCAGACTGGTAAGTACAAGCAAGTGGTTTTCTTCTGTATGGCAGTATGTCAGAGTTGTCATGTGGGTTCTGAGAAGGACTGTTTCACTGTGCAAGTGATGTGAAAGAGTATTTGCTATCTGACCAGTTATGCGGACGATTTCCACCAAGATCACTGATGCATGTGTTTGTAATCATGGTAGCTTTGTAGTAAGCCAAACTTGTAGCCCAAATTTCAGTGTTTACATTTTTAATTTTAATTGGTTGGCTTCCGCAGCCACTCAGCTGTTCAAGCTGGCTCACAAGTACAGGCCTGAGACCAAGCAGGAGAAGAAGCAGAGGCTGCTGGCTCGTGCTGAGCAGAAGGCTGCTGGAAAGGGAGATGCCCCAACAAAGAGGCCTCCCATTATCCGTGCAGGTGAGTTTGACTGAACAAAGTCCCGTCTTTGTTAAGCTCCACAGTTTAGTAAAAATGTATTAAAGTTCAAGAATTATGCTGGTCTAGTTGGCAGCTCGGTCTTATGTATTTCAGGAGTGCTGCTGAAATTGTAGGTTTGCTCCTAAACAATCTTAAACTGTGCATTAGAACCTATTTTGTGTTCTTGTTAGTTCAGCCTCATCTGACTTGGCCTCAATGCAGTGATGACCAGAATTTCTTCACCTGAAACTTGCTGTGATGGTTTTTGAGCTTTTTAACCCTGAGCATTGGCCAAAAAATAATGAAAAGTTTTTCTGGATTAAGTTGGTGGATCAAACATTTTAATTTCTGCCTTTTGGCTTTCGCTCTCTGCAGGTGTGAACACCGTCACCTCTCTGGTGGAGAGCAAGAAGGCCCAGCTGGTCGTCATTGCCCATGATGTGGATCCTATTGAGGTGAGATTGGTGTAATATGTGAGTGCATGTTGGGTTCAGTTTAGTGTAAAAAGTGGTCTCTGGCAATGATGTCTGAATTTCTTCACCTGAATCCTCTGTGTGGATCAAAACATACGAGCTTTTTAACCCTGAGCACGGACCACAAATGAAAAACAAGTTATCATTTATTCATTTTTGTAAAAGGTAATATGGTTGCTACACTCCTTCCTGAAATGTTAATACTTCCTGTGGCTCCCCTGAATTTCTAGCTCGTGGTCTTCCTGCCTGCTCTGTGCCGCAAGATGGGTGTCCCTTACTGCATCGTGAAGGGGAAGGCTAGACTGGGCAGACTGGTGCACAGAAAGACATGCACTTCATTTGCCTTCACACAGATTAACCCGTAAGTATGAGCATACACTGAACTGTGCCCAAGTGTGACAGTGAAGTTTGGCAAATGAGTCTTAGTACATGTTCAATAACTGGCTGGAGAAAATATTCAATACTTCCTCTGGAGTGAGATCTTAGTTCACATCTTCAAATTTGCTTGGATTATTTTCTACAACAGTTGACTCTTTAATTAGGGACCACAATATGTATAAATTGGAAGTGAATTTTTTCAGACAGGAAAATTTAGTCATCTTTATACAAGTGTCGGTACTGCATTGACCATCTTTTCTCTCTTTTTTTTCTTTTTCCTAGTGAGGACAAAGGTGCACTTGCTAAGCTCGTGGAAGCCATCAAGACCAACTACAATGACAGATACGAGGAGGTGAATAGCCATTACTCAGTTAGCAGTGTTTACATTTCACAAATCCTAAAACAAATTGTACAAATTTTAACTGTTTGCAATCTCATTTTCCAGATCCGCCGTCACTGGGGAGGTAACATCATGGGTCCCAAATCCACAGCCCGCATCACTAAGCTGGAGAAGGCAAAGGCCAAGGAACTTGCAACCAAGCTTGGTTAGATTGTTTGGAATAAAAAATGTATGCCCTAAAAGAAGAAGACTTCTGTTGTTTAATTTTCAAACTAAAATGATAGAAATGTTAGAATCAGATTGCAGGTGTCAACACAGTGACAGCAGGAAACGTAAACATGGGAGCATTTTAAATTCTGCTTGTTATAATAAGGGTGGAACTGACATTTTTAGGTTTCCCATGCTGAATGCTGAAGTGTCACAGTTTAAATCAAGATGATAATCTTGGGCATTATCTGACAAATTGCTTGAAATCGGGATAGTTTTTTTTTTAATTTAATAACTGAGAAACCACAACTTGAAAGGTGAAAAATATAATGAACTTTGCCTTTCAATTCCTGTAAGTGTAAACTTATTGATGGTCCAAGTTTCTGTAACTGGAGTTACTGAATCTGATCGCACTGAAATTATATTTAGTATCATCCAGCAGTAAAGTTGACCTCTTTAAAAAATAAAAATTTAACATAATAAATTTACACAAATAAATTTAACATAAGATGCTTTGTCAAAACCACATAATTTACATGACAGGAGGATCTTTTTTCCCAACAGTTATTATTGGCACATAGTATATACAACAAGGTAAATGAAAGAATCCCCGATCTTGAGTACTTTATTTACATATTAAGCTATTTACATAATATATGCACCGGGCTGGTGCTACAAGTTAAGCACAAACCCATCATTCAAGTACCAAGTAAAATAATTTTATTGTTTTAAATCCTCTTGATGAACTTTGCATACCACATGTAGGAAGTAGCTGCACACAAACCATACCTAGAAGAAAAAAGTAATTCTGCATTTTATCAATCAAATGCACCTTGAGACATGAGTGTAACAGATGTACAGCAGTCCAAAACAAAACACTCACCATGTTATTATGTACTGCATGTGTTCATTCCTCAGTGTGACCCTAGTCTGTCCACCTATTGGCCCACCAGGAATAGTGCTACCTGCATGAGACACAAAACTTTAAATTACTTTCAAATTGAAGTGATTCTGTTGGTGTGAGTGAGATGAACAGCACACATGGAGGATTGCAGAGGTTTAATCTTAATGTAAAGTCACTGCGTCAAAGAGCACTGAACATACCAAAGTCTGCATCAATGAAGATGGGTGCGGCTCCAGTGACTTGTGCCATCGCTTCCAGGTCACGGTAATGCCAGCGGTTTCTCTCCACGTCATTGTTTGGTACAAAGGGTTTACGATTCTCTGTCAGTCTGACCACTCCCACCAACTCCACCTCATCCTCCACCTGCATAAAGGCAGCATTTCAGTGATTCAAGTGTTTACAACAACACAAAGGTGGTGTTAGTGGTTTAGCGAACAGTCAAGTGGTGTAAGTCAGTTCTGCTTTAGTTCATTTAAATTTGCAGAAAGTTTATTAGTAGGAGTAACATGACAATAAAAAGGTCTTCGAGGCACTTTCACAGGCATATTTAAACTATTCAATTACTAAAGGGAGTTGGGGCCTAATTGAAGATGAATTCTCAATGCATAAAGACGTTTTCAAAACTAGAAACACCCCAGGCCTATACTAGGACGTAGATTTGTCTTGACCAGGTAACTTCAGGGATGGTTCACTTCTTACCAAGGTGGATCAACATAATAACTTGTGTTCCAAAACAGGTTATGTGTGAACAAAGTAAGCCATACTTGTTCATTATTTTTCTTTGTGCTGTTTAACATGTTTAACATTAACACGCTAACTGGGGCCTGCAAAGTCTGACATGAAGCTACTGGGTTTTTTGCAATTTCTCTAAGCATTGCACAGTCTGGCCTTGAGGTGTTTTGCCAGGACTTCCACTCCTGGGAAGACTGGAAACTCTTCAGTGTTTTCCATTTGTAAATAATCTTTCTCAATGTACAATGATGGATTTCAAATTGTTTGGAAATGGTCCTTTAACCCTTCCCAGATAGGCAAGGGATCATTGCTGTTATCTCTTTGGTATTCTGTTAACACACACATAAATGCTCCAGACCAGCAAACTACCAAAACCTCTACTTTTACTGAGGTGCTCATACTTGCTTATGATCAATGAATCAAGTGCACTTATTTATCAGGGTGTAGATCATTTTTACACATGCTGCTTCTGCATTTTGACTTAGTTTTTGTTCAGTAAATAATTACGTGGTGTGATATGTCATGTTGTTGTTCATCTGAAGTTGTATTTAGCCGTTACGACTTGCTGTCAACAAGATGACTTTTTATCATGTCGTGGTATGTAAAACCTAAGAACTGAACTGTAGTCTTAGTTCTCACATAGCTTGTGACAATCCTATTAGACTTATAAGTTAGTCTTATTAGTCTTGAAAAATAAGTTAGTCTTTGTGCAATTAACAAATCTCAAAGACTTAACACTCCAACCTGGTGTAAAACCTCTGTGTTTACCCAGCATTTGATGTCTTCCCCTCACCTGTCCCTTCATCCTGGTCTCTGGTCTTATTTTCTGCCTTGGCACGAATCCTCTGTTCACCAGGATTGTGATGCTTCAGTGACACAGACGGTATAAATCAGTGTTGAGAGCAGCACAAGATCAATGTACAGATATTGCTATGGTGAGATGTTTTATCTGGCTCCTTACCCGAGGTTGGTACAGTGGAATGGGGTGATGACATTAGCGCCGGTCTCTGCACTTGAAGAGAGCCTTCCTGCTTCTCTGGCCTCTCTCTCCGGGTCGACTGGTGAGCGGGGCATAATGTATAGCTCTTGGGAGTGATCGTAACGTCCACGTACCTTGACTCTTCTGTACTCGAGGTTATTAACCTCATAAGGACTAGAATGCAAGGTGGGAAAATGGTATGTAAATCTGTGCCTTAATGATTCACATATGTAAATAACGCGGCTTATTCGACTTCTGCACATTAAGATATTACATGAAGTGTAAAAGAGCACCAATTATGCTTTTTCATATTTTCTGTCATAGATACAGGACCTAGCCACTCTCTGCCACTCACTTACTCAAGAGGAAGAGGAATGGGTTCTGCCGTAGTGAGTCGCGTCAGGTCATCAATCAGCTTCAATTTCCACTGACGCCTTTTCACCTACAGATGAAGGTAATGAAGGCACTGGAGTACACCCAACAACAACCAGAAAGACGTAACCGCATTGTGTGTATTTAAAAAGGCAATAACAATCAACAAATAAGTGGTACCTGCCATGTGCCGAGGCCAAAGGTGGTGGCAGGGATGAGCAGCAGGAACCATTTAAGAAAAGAGTCTTCTCCTTTCTCTGCAGCTGTGGCTGCTGTGGATCTGAACTGTCGTCCAAAGCCAAGGAACCTGCCTGGATATGTAAAGAATAATAGTGAAAGGTGGATTCCTTGGAGAATCGAACAGCATATTGACATAACAGTTACAAATAATATAATGGAATAACGTATATATGCTACCCAAAAAATTTATACATAAAGATTATTTCAGCAGCCATGGAGACAGACATTAATGTAAACCGAACAGGTTTTGTTGATTTTATTATATTATTACGTAGTAATTACTTTTTTTT